TACCCAATAAAACGAACTGGTTTTCCACTGAAAACTGAACGGAACCGGCTTTTTTCCACTTAAAACGGAACGGACTAGTACGTAGTACCTCCAAACGCATCGGGTGCACCCATGACCAGTTAGTGTGAAAAATTCGTGTATGGCGGTACCGATTCGTCAACAAAATTTTGAAAATATGCAAGGAATGATCTTGACTAGGAAGGGATCAAACCCTCTGCCAATTGAAATGACCAAGGTCTCCATTTTGAAAAGCACGGACAATCCGAAGACAGCCCCACACCATTTGGGGTGGATATAAGGGTGTTTACTGACCTTGTCAAAGTAGTACACAAGAGCTCTTTCATGCATGGTTTTAGTTGGAGTTTGAGTTCGAATCAAACCAAAAGAAGCAATTTGCTTGGTCGGTGATACTTCCTCTGTTCCAGATTACTGGCGACATTTCTCTACTATTGGCTCAAATTGAAATCAATGCATTTTATTGGTTAGAAACCTCACTGGTAACGTTAGTCCAAAATGGACACATGGCAGTTCACATTTGCCATTAGGGTCCCGGCGCGTCGCATAGTGTCCATCTTCAGATGAGGTAAGCGAAAGTGGTTGTCACCATTGTGCTCCAGCACAAGGCGCATGACGGCCTGGAAGGAGAGGAACACGTTCCAGAGCTTTTTTGAGCAGAGCGCTTGGAAAGCCGCCAAGGTCGAGATGATCACGTCATCGATCGATCGACTCACAACCTTGTATTGTAGCGACTGGAACTATGCGAAGAAGCCAAGGTCCAGACCAATGAGATCAGGGCTGTTGGGCGGTTGGCGCCGCAGCACAAACGTCCATCCGTCCGTAGAAACGCTCGCCAGGGCTTCGTTTGTGATGGATGATGTGGCCTGGCGTTGTCGTGCTGAAGAACAACACGCTTGTTGGCACTTGCGAATCGGGTCTTGATAGCTGGTATGACTCGAGTCACAATATGCAGCGGCATCAACGTTCACCAGTGTAGTCACAAGCGTGCCAGCAGGACGGTTGCGGGAGTTACGTGCGGCAGGTAAAAAAATTTCACAATTGACGACTGGAAACGAGTTATTTGGACTGACGAGAGTCCATTTAACTTGACTGGGTCGAATGAGCGTGTGTTTGTTTGGCTCCGACCTGGGGAAGAGTTTTCCGACGAGTGCCTTGTGCCCTCGTCCAAAAGTGGCCGCCAAAGTATTATGGTGTGGGGAGCTATTGGCTGGAAAGGCACTGGTTCATTGGTGACATTGGAAGGAAAGTTAATTCGAACGTGTATCTTGACCTTCTAGAAGAGCAATTGACTGAAAATTTTGTCTGGTTGGACCTGCCCATCATCATCTTCCACCAAGACAACGCGCCAATTCACACTGCCAAGAAGATCGACGCATTTTTCAACGAAAATGCTATTGAAAAGATGGCCTTGACCTGAACCCCATCGAGCATATATGGGAGTATATTAAGCGGAGGATTCGTTCAAATCCTCCATCTTCGCTTGATGGGTAGCGCGATCGTGTGCAGGACCTTTGGGACATTGTACCGCCGACTACATTCAAGCGTTGATCTCTAGCATGCCCAAGCGATTGAGCGTGGTGATTGCCAACAAGGGTTGTGCAACCAAGTACTAATCTTTGAATAAATCAAACGGTATGGTCGATTTCGTGGAATCGTATGAAAACTTTTGATTCATTATTTTAATGATGATGAGTTTCAAATCGTCATATCTACTACAATACTGCACAAGATGTGCCAAGGCAACTTCATAGCATATCTAGAATGGCGGTGACGCAGCTTACGATTGTCCATTGCGAAAACTACCGAGTCAATCAAAAGATATACGACCCACAAGATCTTAATCTGAACAGTATGAAAACTTTTGACACCCACTGTACGCGTTTCACAATGGACCACATCCCGATCTTTCCATCGAACATCTCTCCTCGCTCACAATCGAAATCGAGGGCGCGAGACCGCCGCCAAAAATATGACTTTCGCGATGAACCGCTCGCTCTTCGATGTTCGTCGACCGATTGTCTGCCCTTTCACAAGGTACACTTTGCGGCGATCCTTGTCGGCATTGACAGTCCGCGAAGGCATCCGGGGGACCAAGGTTAGGGTTATGTGAATATATTCCTTTTGACAGTAGTCCACTTACACAAAATATAAAAAAAAATACCTACCGAAAATTCGTTTTTTACATTTATAGAGGATATTATTTGTCGTTGTGGAAATTGCATTGACAGCGATGTTTCGTGTAACATATCTTACAAGTTATCGTTTCTCAAGTAATACTTTCAATGAATGATTTTTGATGCCAGTGAGCTCAAGAAGCATACAAAATTTCACAAGAAAAGGCAATCTGGCTTGTGAGATACGAATGAAGGTCCCCCGGATGCCTTCGCGGACTGTGAACCATTTCTCATCAAGGTGCACAACGTCCCACATGCCGTCGAACTCGTGGGTGTTTGCTGAGAGCGGTTTTTCAGGAAAACCGGCTTCGCCGGCGCCGGCAACACCGTCAGTATCCACAAGCGCTGCAAAATGCGATGCGCTCACGCATGTTGTCATCGGTCAGGAGCGGTTTGAGACGGGATGATCGGCGCTCAATCGTGCCGTCGCGGAGCTTGCGGTGGATTGTGCCTATGGAGAGACCGGTTGCTACAGAAATGTCTAGAATCGTGGTTCGCTGGTCTTCGCGGACGCCGCTGACGCGGTTCGTGACATGTTTGGTGGTGTAGGACAACTTGGTTCCGACGCGACCCCACTTCGATGACGGCATGCGGGCGTTGTGCCGGAACGCTTTCCAGAGTT